AGCAGAGAGCCCGATGCGGGGCTCAATCCCAGGACCCTGGGATCATGACCTAAGGGGAAGGCAGAGGCTTTAACTCACTGAGCCAGCCAGGAGCCCCAAATAAATAAAATTCTTTAAAAAAAAATAAATAAGAGTGGCTGACAGAGACATCAGGTTAGAATACACGTGTCTTCAACCACAGGACTTGTGGAGGAGAGAATCAAAAGACTAGTAGGAAAACCTCAACAAAGCTGATCAAGGAAAAGAAGACCTATATATTTTGGGAACAAACAAGGGAGAATATAACTAAAGGTGCAGACAAGATTTAAGAGCTAAGTAAGTCCTATAATTTTATATCAGTATATTTGAAAATGCAAACAATTTTCTAGGAAAATATAAATTACCAGCATTTACTCAAGAGCAGATAGACCTGTAGTCATTAAATCAGCAGTCAGAACATAAAGCCAAAATAAAAGTACCATTCCACAGTCAACTTCAGAGGTTAGTTTCATCAGACTTTTAAAAAAAAACAGGCAATCCCCAAATATATTTTGTAGTTGACTTTTCAACCAGGACCCGGAGAGGGGGAGGGGAGCAACACCTTTACCCTGCAGAGGGGGTGAGAAATGCAGTCTTTCCTCTGGATACAATGAAAACAGGTGACACCTGAGGTCCCAGGATGCTGGGAGGTGGCCAGCAAATCCCAGCATGAGGATGCTGGCTACTGTCCCAGCCCTGCCTTGTGGATTCAGTGACTGGAAGGGCAGGAACATTCATTAGAGAGAAACCAACATCTTGAAGAACTGCTTTCCTGCTCATCTGAACAAATAAAGAATAAAGCCTAAAAAACAAACCATAACAACAACAACAACAAAACCCAGGCAGCCCCTATTTTACATCAACTTTTCCAGGGAACAGAATGGAAAAGCTCCTCAGTTCCTCATGGGATGCTGGTCTAACCTTTCCTGCATCCTGAGACCATTAGAGCCCTGTTTCTTTAACACAAATGCAAAAAGTCTACATAAATCATTAGCAAACAATCTGCCCATGTAATTATTGAATGTGTATATCATAAAGGTCATAAATTCTAAAGTAATCATCATCTATATGTTTGATAAAATTCTAAATCAAAACCCCCAAGGAATTTTTTACAGCTTAAATTTATGTAAAAAGCAAATGGCTTAAGATTATCTAAGAAGAATAAGGAGGGTAGATTTATTAGATACTAAATTTTAATATGTGGTAGAGTAAAATGGTATAACCACTTCCCCAAACAATAAATCAAAGCCTCATCAGGAAAAAGCCCTTTGCTTCCCACATCTTGTGCCTTAGGAATGTGGATGTAAGGCCTGGCGATACAGCCTCTAGCCTCTAGGATGTGAGGCAGCAACCTGGAGGTATATTCTCCTGTTGGATGTTTAGGCTGTTTCCAGCCTAGGGTTATTAAGGATAAAGTTGCAGAGGACATTGTCATACAGTTTGTTGATGACCTTCTTTTCATCTTGGTTAAGCACCTACAAGTAAAACTGCTGGGTCATGGAGCAGGGTATATGCTTAATTTCTAGGACTGTCCAATAGTTTTGCAAAGGATGGCTTTCCAGCCTCCCAGGTTTCTCTCATTGCCCAGATCTGTTGCAGGAGCCCCAGCCAGCTGCGTATGTTAGTTTGGGCACACACTGAACAAAGTTAAAATTGTGTTTGTAAAGGAGGAGGAAGAAAGGCACAAGAAAGTGTCAGCTCTGTGTAGGCTATTGTTTCTTCTGAAATAACTCTGAAGCATATGGTAACATCTTAAATCTGTTCAACCCAAGTGGAAGAGATTGAAGTGTATGCTGTATGTTTGCAGTATTTCATATTTGTTTTTAAAGATTTTGTTTAGAGAGTGCCTGCAAGTGGGGGGAGGGATAGAGGGAGGGAGAGAACTTCAGGCAGACTCTGTGCTGAACGCGGAGCCTGATGCGGGACTTGATCTCACAACCCAGAGATCGTGACCTGAGCTGAAATCAAGAGTTAGACGCTTAACCGACTGAGCCACCCGGGCACCCCAATATTTCACCTTTTAGAATGAAATGTAGCACAAAGTAATGGCAGATGGTATTCAGAATGTGAGTGGCACTGATTTGGTGCCATTCTGGTCATAGAGACGTGGATGGCAGGAGAGCGTGCATGTGTCCCAAGTCTGTGAATGACAGCAAGTTTTGCAAGGCCGGAAAGCAGACTATGGGAGGTGAGCGTCCACAGGGATGATAGGCCGTGTATGATGACCTCAGAAGACAGAAGTTGTCAGCAATCATGAATTTGAAGGTCAGAGAGGGTTGCAGAGGACTGATTTTGACTCCGCCATCAGTGTTGTAATAAAGGCAGTCAGGGACAGCTGGGCGGCTCAGTCTGGTTAAGTGTCTGACTCTTGGTTTCAGCTCAGGTCATGGTCTCCAGGTAGTAAGATCAAGCCCTGCACTGGGCTCTGTGCTAAGCCAGGAGTAAGCTTGGGATTCTCTCCTGTGCCTCTCCCCACCTCCCGTGTGCACACATGCACACACACACTCTCTCTCTCAAATCTTTAAAAGAAGACATTTGTGGAAAGTACCAAGTATGAACTTTTAGGGGTGAAATTGGTGATAAAATGGTAACTACCACACGTTTTTCATGAGTCACTGATCGTCGCTGCAGGGAATAACCCATAGTCGACCTAACGCCTTATCTGACGTTGAAAGCAGTACCTGAATATAACAGTACATTGTTCATGGACAGTCTTTCACTCACCGCCTCTGATTGCCTTCAGATCACTACAGGTTTTATGGAAGAAATGGCTCTTTTCCACAGTTACTTTTTTTTGGTGTAGCTACCTACCTATCTGGCAGCACATAAATGAAAATGTTTTTGTGTTTTTCTGATTCGGGGCCTTGGACTTTGATCAAATGAAGTAGGAAGTCCCATACTAAGCAGTATTTGTGTATTTTCCCTTCTCCTGGCTGTGTGCCTCTGAATACTCAAATTTTTCCTAGAAAATGCTTTCTGAGGGCGGCAGATCATATATCATATCTATTTCAACAAACGTACTCCTGGTGAAGAGATGCTTCCTTCCTAATCCACAGACACGAGGCCTCTGGCTGGCCTGCGCGGTCTGCCCTTCCTCCTGTATTATGTATGCAGTAGGCCCTACACACCCACTGGGGGTCAGAGCCAACGCCTTCTGAAACATTTTACCAAACATTCTGCTTGACACTAGTTTTCTTAAGTTTTTATTTTGGTGGTGGAGGCTGGGCAGCTTTGTAGGTGTGCTTACAAATTTTCTTGGTGTTACTGCTCTCAGTACTTCTTAGATATCTTTGCTATATTTTTCTCTTCCTATGTGCTTTAATGACATCTGTTAAAGTTTTCATGTCTTTTTTAAATGAATCAAAAATTCAGTTTCTATTAGCATTTTAAGGAATAAAAAGTCATAGGTGGTGTCTCGATACTTCCTTCTCATCTGTACTAGAAATGGTAGGTATAGAACTTTAATCTGGTTGTCAGCTCTGAGGTTTTTTTGTTTGTTTGTTTAATATTTGCCTTCATGTGATTTGGGAGAAAGCCCTTGGGCCGCATTCCCCGGCAGCCCGTGCTATCTGCGATTTGAAGGGAGCACGTGTGAGTGGAGACGCCCCGGGGATGCAGGCTCCAGGTGGCAGCTCCCTGACTGCCCTTCTCAGTGACACAAATGGAAAACCTGAAAGCAAGACACCACATAGGTTCTAGAGGTGAGAGTGACTTCAGTGTGAAGAAAGGCGGGCTGCTCCTATGAGAGCAGCATGCACCGTGACCCAGAGCCAGTCCACAGTGATGCAGCAGTGACATCATTGTGTGAATTCCACGGAAGTTACATGGGAATACCCAGAAACACGTGCACTAGGACCCATCAGGCCAGAAGAGCGGGCCACAGACAGTGCGACAGAGAGCCTTTCTGCCCTTCAGGCCTTGAGCACCTCCCTCTTCAAAAAGCAACTAGTTCTAGTTTAAAAAAAAGAAAAAGGCATCTAGCTTAACCACACCTCACACAGCCTCTCCCGGTTTCTGATAAGACACCTGAGAAAACGCAGAACAGGCTGGAAGCCCACTCTGGGGCCAGCAGAACGGAGTGGAACGTAGGGTGGGTTGCCTCTTGGGCTGTGTCCTTGCTGAAAGCAAGTGGGCCCTCTTTGTCTGCACCCCGCCCTGGCTCTGGAACACAGAGTGGGTGCCAACCAGAAACCGGGGCCTGCCCTCAGCGTCCCGACTTCTGAGTCTGCTATGGTGGTGCCGCTGCTCCTAATGCTCCAGGCAGAGAAGGCAAAAATTCGTAATGAGGCCCAGGGCAAATGCATAAAGGAACAGAAAGTGCAGTACTAGGGTGAAGAAAATGAATCTTGTAGCAATGTTAATATCGGTGGTCATTTGTCAGTTGTCAGCCCCTTAAGAGTCACCAAATTTGACAGTTACCAGGGTCACTTTACATTCTAAGCGCTACGCTCAACAGTTTGGATTGGAAGGAAAAGAGGGATTGCAGCCAGGAAGGCATTTGGGACAGAAATCACATCTGTTTGGTTTCTCTGTGCCCAGTTCCTTGTACATGATAGGGCCCCAGTATATACTAGTGCAGATAGAGCAATTAGTGCAATCAAATGAAGGATTTGGGGTTTGCCCAGGTTTTCCATCCTGAGCAACGGTCTGGAGGTTGGAATGAGCAGGTCACTTAGGGGCCAGACTGTCAGAGTCCACATTAGGAAGCTCTGTAAGATGATGTTGGGGTTGGTTACCACAGCCTTCCTTGCCAGCCTTTGCAATTTCTGTTTAATTTCGCAAACGGCACATACGTGCAGTGGTGACCGAATGGAGGCTGGAAGGGTTGGTCCGAGCAGTTTGGAGGGAAAAGCGTACCGAGGGCAGGCAAGTGCCTCATTGGACGATTTCAGACACGCCAGTGTTCTGAATCCCAGTAAGAGGGTTTGTCCCTGCAGTTGCGTCTTTTTAAAAACGGCTTTTTCTTACAATGTATGCTTTAGATTCTGCTTCGTGAAGGTTGCAAGAAGATTCTTGTAGCAGACTCTTTGTCCTTACTGAAGAAAATGCACCGAACTCAGATGAAAGGCGTTCTGGTCGATGGTGGGTAAAATTGAAATAATCCTATTGGAATCATATGCTTTCCTTTCAGAAGAGACAGGGCAAGTAGAAATACTGTATGATCCCAAGTGTGTGTGTTTCCTTGCAGAGGAGAACATCTGTGAATCGTGCCTTTCCCCTATTCTTCCATCAGGTAAGGTGGTTGGCAGGGGCGAGATCCCCAAATGTGGGTTCATGAGGAGTGGAATTAAAATTTTGATGTTAACTAGTTACTAAATTGCAGAGCTTTTGGAATAATCCATTTTAGAGAAGAATTTCAGCCCACAGCGCTCCTTAGTCGCAGGCTGGTGCCGCAATTCTTGAAAGCTGAGGTGCTCACCCGGCAGGGGGTCTGCATTACTTGGGAGGTAAAGCCCAGATTGCTGGTCCCACCCCAAGAGGTGCGGGACCCCAGAATTTGCAGTTCTAACACATTCCCACGTGATGTGGATGCTACTTCAGGGGCCATTGTGTGAGATACCATGGCTTTAGAGTAAAACAAAACGAAAATCTACCATCGACAATGTTTAAATTCCAAGGGAGAAGAATCGTGTGTATCTGGGGGGAAAATTGAATAAGTACCCTCCCCTTTTCTTGAAACTTGGCTCTGCTCTGTGGTTCGAGGCACCTAAATTTCCCACATTTCAACAGAAACCTGTTCCTTGCCATCTAATCCGAACATAAGCCTGTGTTTATTTATAGTTGGCGGATCCATAGATCGTCATGTGTGATCAGAGCACCTTACATAAGGAGAGGACAGAAGAGGAAATTCCTTAATCTGAAAGTAGAAAGTAAAGCCGAGTTACTGGGATGCAAAAAGTGTTTTTATTGTGAATCCAGCATAGAGAGGTACTGAGAGAGCTGATGTAGGAATGTACTTAGCTTTATGGGATTAGAGAATAGGACTGGAACAGGACAAGTCATTCCACTCAGGGCCTTTTCTGGAGGAACTAGGTTGAGGTTGAGTGTTCATGTTGAAAACTGCAGTGGGTACAGGACAAGAAGGGAGCTGCCGTCGTGGTTGCTGGTAGCATGTCACCAGCAGTGCGGACGCAGAGGCGAGTTCCTGCGGGAGCGTAGGCGGCGCAGGGCTGGCTCCTAGCCTGGGACGGTGGTGGGGGCTGCTGGCCCCGCTGTGCCCAAACGGATGCCGCCCTGTGGGCTCGTAAGAAGCAGTAGGCGAACTGGCAGGATTTTCCTAAAGCCACAGAGTGGATTCAGCATAGGCTGTGTTTCTCGGGTCTAGGGAAGGGAGGAGGTCACGCGCATACTGATCCTAATTATTAGAATGAATGTGCTTGCATTCGCGGTGAGGTTGTCCCTCGTTTGTAGTCGCCACTGACGGGGAGACCAGGCACGTGACCTGGGACTCCGCCCCCGACGTTGGTACCTGCTTCTCATCTGACCACGGCCCCTCGGGGGCCATCTGTGGACACGCAGTCCTCCTAAGGCAGCTTATTGCTGGAAAATTAAACTGCAGCTGGACTTTCAGGCAGGATGGGGTCAAGTTCTCCACCTGCTTGTCGCACTGAGTGCTTGTCTCTCTGCCGCTGTCTCCCCACAGACGCCGCGAAGCCCTTCAGCGTGGTGGCCTTCCACTGCCGCCACATGTTCCACAAGGAGTGCCTGCCCGTGCCCAGCATGGTGAGTTGGCCCCTTGGCAGCCACCGACAAGAGAGCCATGTGGTCGGGAGGGTGCGCTCTGAAGTCTGCCCATCCTCCTGTGGCTTCTCGGGATTGGCTTTCTATCACACAGGAAAAATGAATTTATTTCTCAGATGCAGAATCTCCTATATGGTAGGCCCCCCTTATCCGCGGTGTCAGTTACCGTGACAGTCAGTCGTGCTCTGGAAGCAGGTGCTCTTCTTGGTGAATGGCCAGGAGGTCGGTAGTGGCCTCATGCTGGCCCACAGAGCCTCTGTCGCTCCGTCCCTTCGTCTCAGCACGCGGGCACCTCTCCTGTCGTCACCACAGCAGGAGTGAGTACAGTGTAAGACAGGGAGACCCCAGTCACGTGACCTCTGTGACAGTGTGGTGGTAGCACTGTCTCTTACTAACCTCTTCCGCACCTCGGTTCTCGTAGGTAGGGATGCACAGAGGAAGCCTCGTGTATTTGGGGCTTGGTACTGTCTGGTTTCACACAGCCACCAGGGGGTCTTGGAACTGACTCCTCGAAGATAAAGGGGGGTTACTGTGCTAAACATCAGAAAAGTAGATTCAGGAGGTGAATTCTTTGAGGTAAAATCGATGACTGTCAAACTGTAGAGACACAACGTATAGTGAGAACCATTTTATAGTTTGTAGAACTTTCTTAGCCTGGTTTCTGTAGCAAGACTGCTGTGTTTAAGGTCCTGTTCCTGTGTTCCCCTTGGTCACATGACACTTGTTTTGCTGTGGGGTATCCTCTGCGCCACAGTAACAGTTGGTGTAGACGGAGTCCTACATGAGCCAGCAAAATCTCCAGGAAAAGGAGTGCTGTTTCCTAGCTTCCTCCCCACCACCACCACTGCTCCCGTGGAGTATTTCTGAATAGCAGAGTAGAAGGAGCTTTCTTGTTAAAATACGTGTCTTCTAATGACCCTTCTAGAACTCCCCTGCACAGTTCTGCGGCATCTGCAGCGCCAAACACCGAGGGCCAGGAAGCGCCATTTTGGAGATGAAAAAGTAGCCCGGCTCCGTCATCCTCTTCCTCACCACTCTTCTGAAGACTGTTTTTGCAAAAACAGCAGCATTTGTGGACCCCAGTGCTGTTACAAGACTTGTATGTGTTTATGTTCTGCTCAGAGAAACATTTCTTCATCTTTGCCTGTCCCCTAGGTTTGCTCTGTGCGTTTGATGAAGTGAGGGAATACTCCATCCATGCCTCGAAATATTTGGGCTCACGGGCTGTATTTCATTATTTGTTGGGCTCATTCTTCACTTAGGAATAGAAAAGTCAGTCTGGAAGTTAGAAATGAATTTCTAGATCCTAGTCAAACTGTCTGGCCAGTGAGCGGCCTGCCGAGGGCGGCCCCTGCTGCCCGAAGGCACCACCCGGGAGCTGCCCCGCCAGCGCTCACCGCAACTTGGCACCTGTTTCCACGGGCTCTGCTGCTGTCAGTCCTCACGTTCCGGGTTTGGCTTTTTGTTGTTGTTGTTGATGTCATCAACTGTGATTGTCTTCTTAATAGGCATTTAATGAAACATTGTGTAAATTGTTACTTATTCAAGGACATCTGGGAATAACATGAGCAGGCCACGTCATGCTGTTGTATGGTGACTGATCACATGGTCCGTGTGTCTGTCGATCGAATAAATGTTAGCTCTCCCCATTAGGAAAGACTCCCTTTTAGTGGGTTGAACAGCTTCATCCTAGGATTCTGGCGCGCTGAGAGTGGAGGAGAGTTTCCACACCTTAGAGTGTGCGGGGTCGTAGTTAGCTTTCGCCATCAGGGAGGAAGAGAGGGACGCTGCGGAGTCCGAGAGGGATTCTCGGGAGAAATGAGACTGTCTGCTGATGGAGGGTGGGCATGACAAGTTTCCTGGAGCCTTCTCCAGAGCCTCATTGGCCCTTGTGGAACCTAGAGAACATAGAATGCAAGGAGAGAATTCAAACTTGGAATGTTTTACAGTTATTGGCTTCATCTGTCTTGGGATAGGTTGCCATCCTCTTGCTGTGGATGCAACTGTATGGAAAACACTGTCACCCATCTTAGTCCCACAAATGCGAATAAATGCAACTTTCTGCTTTGTCGTGGGGAGAGGGTGGGATGCTAATGAGTCCTGAACACAAACTGACTAGTGAACCTGGCATCTCCTCTCAAGCTCCCTATGCCTGCGGAACAACATACCGTGTCCCTTGGTTTCCTGACAAAGTGACTGAATTGTGGAGATGCTGTCACAGTCACGGGTGAAGGTGAGCTTCAGAGCAGGGCTCCTTTCAAGAAACCGAGGTTGGGGGTATTCAGAGGAAATTCACAGCACATCTCTGCAGTAGAGTCTAAAAGAATGTTCTCTAGCAGACAACGGGCTTTTCCCATTAGTCTTAAATTATCCCAAAGTGGAAAGTTCTCAGCCCCCTCAGCATCATATCCTCTTATTCCAAGGCTAGTGCTCTTTCTGTTCTGTTTCCCTTTTGTTCTAACCAGAGAAATCCTTCACAAAAAAGCCTCACAAGTGAGCCCACCTTGAAACACTGGTAAGAAGCAAAACCACTGCACTTAGGTTGGAGGGGAGGCGGTGGTTGCAAAGGCACATTCATCTCCCCTCCTTACAGAAAGCCATTCTGAAACAGCCAAGTTCAAAGTTACTCTGTGATAGCAGTTTTCCTTTGCTTTTAGCCCCAAGGGTTTTATACTAGTTTAAGAACGAGAAGGTCTTAACAAATTTTTAATTTGGTTGTCATCGTGTTAAACTATATATTTCACATCCTAAAAACAAACATTTGAGCAGTTACTGTGTGTCGGGTGCCATTAGAAGCACCTGATGGGAGCCCGCACCCTCATCATCTTACAGGTAAGGAAGCTGGAGCACCTCGGGGCCAAGCCATCCGTGTGAGGTCAGGGAGCAGGCCTTTAGCGTCTGTGATCTTAACCGCTGTGTATTTGATTCTTTGGGGTTTTTTAATGTATTTGACCTGTTGTGGTCAGTGCACAGAAAACAAAACCCACTGTCATCACAGAAGGGGATTTATTATAAAGTAGCCAATGGCTTACAGAGTCACCAAGAGGACTGAGGAAGCAGACAATAGGGAGAGCTTCCAGGAGCACCTGACAAAGCCGACCCGGAACCGGGCTGCCCAGGGCACCCCCAGCCCACCTCCACCAGAGTTCGAGCTGCACAGAGCGTGCAGCCTGCTTTTAAGTAAACTGTAAATAAAAATACAGACGTTCCTCGGTTTCTTTTAAAGTTCACCCAGTAACACCAAATAAGGAATGTGATGTGTGTACACGCATGTGTAGTAGACATTTCTCTGGGCTAAGCATCACCAGCTTTTTCTGGCTTCTCTGACCAAGACTCAGGCTCAGAAAACTCCACCAACTTGGATACGAAACCATCACTTGGGCTTCCCAGACACCTATCCCGGACTCATAGCTGATCGTCACTGTGTGAAATCTGCAGCTCAGGTTGGGGCGGTCTGAATCTGCGCAATGTTCGTAGCACTGAGCTGAGTTGTTCTGCATCCCAAAGGGAGGGGAACCGAGCGAGGAGGATTTTAGGGAATGCAAGCAACTGGGATAACCAAAGGGTTTTTAAGAAAAGACGAGTATTCACGCCTGTATGTCACCTTGATGCTGGACCCTTCTACCTACCCCAAGGGTTCAGTAGAGTCTGGCGTCCAAACTGTCATCTGTGAGTGGGTTCTATGGGAAACTGAGGAGCTGTGCTCTACATCTGGGACCCTGAAGAGCAGGGAAACAAAACAGTGGCAGGAGGCAAGAGCTGGAGTTGACTGGGAGCAGGAGCAAAGACCTGCGTTTGACAATAAGAGCATGAAAACCCCAGATATCCTGGCATGTTGGGAGAAGGCTGGTCTTCCTAAAGGGAAATGGATAAAGGCCTTGAGCCAATTTTATCTAAATGTCAAAGGACTGGCTCAATGACTTCAGTTACCATTGCGTCACAATGTTCATGCCCTCATTGATGACATCTGCCTATGGAGTTTAAACTTAAGCTTCAGTTAAAAAAAAAAAAAAAAGATTTATTAGATGGGGCGCCTGGGTGGCTCAGTCATTAAGCATCTGCCTTTGGCTCAGGTCATGATTCCAGGGTCCTGGGATCGAGCCCTCCATCAGACTCCCTCTCCCCTTGCTTGTGTTCCCTCGATTACTGTGTCTCTCTCTGTCAATAAATAAAATCTTTTAAAAAATTTATTAGAGTGTGTGTGTGTGTGTGTGTGTGTGTGTGTGTGTGTATTTGAGAGAGAGAGAGCGGGGGAGGGGCAGAGGAAGAGACAATCCCAAGCAGACTCCCTGCTGAGCATGGACCCCCCCCCCCCCCACCAACCTGGGACTGGATCTCAAGACCCTGAGACCATGACCTGAGTTGAAATCAAGCGTTGGACACTCAACCAACTAAGCCACCCATGTGCTCCTTAAGCTTCAATTTTTTTTTTTAAAGATTTTATTTATTTGACAGAGATCACAAGTAGGCAGAGAAGCAGGCAGAGAGAGAGAAGGAAGCAGGTCCCCTGCTGAGCAGAGAGGCTGATGCAGGGCTCAATCCCAGGACCCTGGGATCATGACCTGAGCCGAAGGCAGAGGCTTAACCCACTGAGCCACCGAGGCGCCCCCATAAAAGCTTCAATTTTTTAGATGATTTTACATCAGAAACTATGTACGTGAGGGTCACCAGGCTTTTATTGTAATCCTAGTGCTTACCCAGTTTTACGGGCATGTCTGTACATGCTCATCTCTTCACGGTTGTCTCACATCTCGTGTAAACAGGCGCTGTCGATGGCACGGGTATGGTGGAAGGAAATCGCAAATGACAGAATCGAGAATGAAAGTCACCTTGTAATATTTAATAAGCGTGGAAAACTTAACACAGATGAAATGCAAAATTCTTCGGTTACGCTCAGAAAAATGATTTGTAGAGATGGATCAGGAAGGACCTGGTTAGCAGTCCATACACACAGAGGCCTTAGCTAAATAGGAGGAGCATTTTGCTCTTAAGGTGGACCTAAGTTTTAACCCATGCTCTGTCACTATGAAACCATTTGGATAAGTTAGTATTTCCAAGCCTCACTTGCCTTAAATGTAGGACGGGGTGATCACTGTACCTACTTCGGAGTAGGTTGAAAGCCTGAAGATGCTGCGTGGAAAGTGCTTAGCTAGTACAAGGCACAGGAAAAGTAACCAGCGTGTAGCAAATGCTTCGTCAATGTCAGCCTCTGAGGTGGCCCCCATAATCCCTACCCTTTACTGGGGTTGGTCAGTGACCAATAGAATATGGGAATTGATGGTACATTCTTTCTAAGGTCCGCTCCTAAAGGTCACTGGGGCCTGGAATCATTTGCCCTGGAGGAATCCGGGCCATGAAGAGAGGCCCCTGTGGGGAGGGCCAGAAACCCTGCCAGCAGCATGTGAGGGAGCTCCGAAGGGACCCTCCATTGCCAGATGAGAGCCCACAGCCCCCACCAACAAGCGTGACTGCAGACTCCTGGCAGGTGCTCAGCTGGAGCCGCCCACCTCAACCGTTCTTGGATTCCTGATTCTCAGAAACCGAGAGAATGAATGTTTGTTGGTTTTCGTGGCTAAATATGGGGGTAATTTGCTAGGCAGCACTAGACAACGCATGTGGCAAGGGCCTCCTGAGTATTAGCTTGCATTTTGCCAAAGTTAATCTAGGTTGCTGTTGCTTGACCACAAAGAGGGAACATCAGTGACTAAAACAAATGCAAAATTGGAACGGACTGCCGGGCCGGTTTGCAGGAAGCAGAATCCTCCATTCTGCCGGTGAGGGCACTTTGTTGAGGACATTTTTTAGCAGAGGTTTTGACAAAGTAGAGAGGAGCAGCTAGGAGAGGACAGAATTTGGAATCCTACCGCGGAAGAAGCGAAGGAACTGGATAGCGCATTACTTCAAAGACATGAAAACGGAGGGGTGTACTCGTTTGCAAGGCTTACAAGTAGGTCCCGTACGAAGGGGAAACGTATGCTCTTGTTTCAGAAGTCCAGTTGCTGAGGTTAAACAAGTTCTATCAGGAAAGGTGTAAGCCCGAGAACTTTCTAACATCTGAGATGTCCAGCAACAGGTGCGTGTGCCCCCTTGGCCACATCTGGAGGTGAGGGGTGGGGGGTGTTCCAGCTAAGGCTGGTAAATATCCATCAAATCTGTGGGTTCAACTCTGGGCTGCCCGTTACAATAGCTGGATTCTAAGTCCCCTGCCCTCTCTAAGCATATCCAAATCCCTCTAGAAACAGCACATTTAATCAGTTAACTCTCACACTCTGTTATTTTTATACTCAGACCCAATGCCCATCTGTCGTGTGTCTAAATACCCACGTCTTTGGCTGGCTGATTAATTCAGTGTCACTACAGGGCCCTCACTCCCATCCTCCCTGCCAGGCAAGACCCACTTGCCTCTCCCATCTGACCGCTTTGCAGCTTCCTTTTACTTTTTGCCAGATTAATGTATGTTCTTTGGCTTAAAATAACGCCAGTTCTTATCTGCCAATGTTACTTTTACTTAAGTGTTGTTGGGTTTTTTTCCCTAAAAGGAAAAAAAAAACATGACTATGTTTCCACATGTGTTATGGGCCAAATTGTTTCCCCCTGAAATTTGTATGTTGCAAGTCCCCAACCCCCATACCTGAGACTAGGACCACCTGGAGATAGGGCCTCTAAAGAGGTAATTAAGGTAAAATGAAGTCGAAGGGGTGGGGTCTAATCCAAAATGACTGGTATCCTTATAAGAAGAGGAAATAATGGACACAGCCATATGCACACACACAGGAGAGATCGTGTCAGGACAAAGGAGAGCCCTGCTGACATCCTCATCTTGGACTTCTAGCCACCAGGACTGTGAGAAAATACATGTCTGTGGGTCAGACCATCTAGTCTGTGGTATTGTGCTCTTGCAGCCCTAGCAAATGAGTATGACATGAGAATTCCTCATTCTAGAAAGGGGCCTGTTGCTGCAGAAACTCAGTGCCCACTCTCCACCCAAGAGACCACTGCCTGTACTTCCCAACACCAGGCATACCACCCAGGCCCCCTCACCTGCTGGCTCGCCTTCCAGAACACCACGGGTCTAAAGGTTTGATGCCCAGCTTCTCCGCCAAAATGTATGGAAGGAAGTATAGCAGGAATCATTTATTCAAACACTGTGAAAGTCCACAGCATAAACTTTCAAATTCCAAAAATGTGGAAGAGTTGCTCGTAAGAGCTCAATAAAATATCTGTAGATGGTATTACGTGAATCAAAAATTTGTTTTAACATAACTCTTTAAGATTCTTTTTAGCTTCAACTTTTTAAAAAGTTTGTACTAAGATTTAGGTTCAAGACATGTACTTTGACCTCTCCAGACACTAACATAACTACATTCGTCAGTCGGGACACTTGGTTGCAAGAGAAACTAAACTCAAGCCAAGCTTGGTCAAAATGGAGAATTTGTTGTGGGGTCATGGAATCGTAAGAGGGCCGGTGTTGTACCCGGGCTGCAGGACTCCAATGAGGCCAGTACTTTAACTGGAAAGCACACCCTCACACAGATTGAGGACACAAGTTGGACTTCCTGAAGGAGGCGGCACCTGCCATCGACTTCCTTCGCACAACCCAGAGAATCAGACTGATGAGCCCAGAAGCAGCAGCGGCAGCTCACCGGTGTTTGAGCTAACACTTGATGCTTTCTCAGTTGTGAGTCATGTCAGCTAAAGCGTGGGGACCACTCCTCGAGCAAGGATAACATCTGGGCTCAACTTCTTAATACTGGAGGAGAAAGTGCTGACAGGAAGAAAAGAGAAATAGTCCCCAGATGCCTCCTTACGCATTCCTACACATCTGTCAGCTTAAACATCGCTTGGTCAGAGTTGTCTTCTCTGCTTCTCCAGGTAAGTCTTTCTTCCCTGTTAAGTGCCTTCATAGAACCTGGACTTCTCCTGTGAACTCCTGAAGTTAAGTACCCGCTTGATTCCCATTAGACTCTTAATTCCCAGATATCATATTAATTCTATGTCTATTCTCTATGCCTAACTAAGTGGCGTTTATATACAAGACACTCAAATGTGTTTGCGGACTACTGGGAAAACCGTTAATTCTGTATTAACTGCAGTCTACTCAGCCCAAATCCAGTAGCTGAAGGGAACATAGCCAAGTGCATGCTAGCCCCTAACTGGCCTCATCCCGGGTCGGTCTTCATCCATCTCCTTCTGTTTTGCTCAAGTGGTCAAGTAAAACAGTACTGCCATTGTGATCTTGAGATAGTCCAAAGGATTGGCTATGATCCTTTCTGTTCTGTGGTGATGATTAAAAAGGAGAAGAAGGAAAGAGGAGGAAGGTGAGGAAGGAAAGGGAAGAGAATAAAATTAATTTTGGTCTGAAAATTGGGAGGTCAAAGAGATCTATAGCTTCCGATGAAGAGAACAGCATCTTGGGAGCTGTAACTCTAGATGACAGCAGTACTCCTAAGGGGCCCTCACCTTTCCCTAAAGCTGCCATTTTCCAGAACCTCTGGCTTTTCTAAATTCAAAATAAGTCAGAATTTGCTTTTCCCCTTTCTATGTTCACCTGGCATCTTGTATGTTTCTCTGGCATAGCATGTGATCATCGTGTGTCCCAGCTGCTTGAGTAGGCAAGGCTCTGGAAGGCAAAGATGATGTCATATGTATATATATCCATCTCTAGGGCCTATTTAAAAAACTTGTCACAGTTCCAAGACTTAATAATGTGTTGCAGATACCCAGAAAGGTAGAATGACTGACCCAAGGGAAAGTGTGAGAATCAGAAGCTGTAAGGTCTGTGGGACTCTACCACTCCAGGCTCTTTGTTTTCACCTTGCGCTTTTCTCTTCATTTCTATCAACATGCCATCCTGTCGCAGGAATGAAATAAAGAATGAAAGCTGAAGAAAGTTCTAACAACGTATTTAGCACGCAGTAGCTTCTCAACATCTATTTCTTGATTTAAATGCTTCCAAAGGGAGCGGATCCATCGTAGCTGAGAGCTGTCCCTTGCTAGTGTCATCATCTTGCTAACCAAATCCAGAAGAACCAG